ATGTTCCGAATGCTGCGGCAAATAACCAACACCGATGCTCTCCTGTCTGCATACTACGGGCTCATCTATCCCTATCTGACGTACACCATTCCTGTTTGAGGCTGTGAAAGACCGAGAACACTGTTTTTGTTCAGACTCCAGAGGAAGGCAATCCGTATTGTGTTCTCCCTTCCAAAACGTCACTCCTGCAAAGAAATATTCAGATCATTCAGAATCCTTACCTTATCCATCCATACATCTTATCTTATCTCATCTTATCTTTTTTGTATCCATCCATCTATATTCTGGAAAAGTCATTCGCTAAGAAAAACATATCTTTCTTTCACCACTCCAGTCAACTACAGATATTCTTTCCGAAACACTTCAAACCTTGCCATTCCCCGTCATTCAACTGCATTTTCCAGAAACACTTTTACTACAATGATTTCATCATTTAGTTGTTTTTACTGTAAGATAAACAATATGTTTTATCAATTAAGTATTAATTTGACTTGGCTAATGCATGTATGTATATGTTGATCTGGCCTAATAAATGACTTATTGACTTATAACCACTATTCAACCTCGATTGACAAATCTATTAAATCAACCTAACCTTATAAACCAAACCTACTAACCCCATTGACTAAACATGTAGTAGGTAAAACTTAATTGTAATCAATCTGACCCAGTCTTACCATAGTATTGTGCTGTGTGGTTATTTTTAACCTAAAAGTTTATTTTTTACTAGTGTATTGTATTCGGATGAAGCATGTAAGGGATATCCATCCTTAAAAGTATTATTTTATTGTATGAATAAATGTACAAAGATACTGAAAGTATTGTTTATTAATGCTCAGCTGACTTGTGAAATGTATACAGTAAATAAATTCTACAATTTTTGTGTAAAATAGCGAGGTAGGGTTGCCTATTGCATTGCAAAAGCATGATTTTCGATTGGACAATCTTCGCAGACTCTTTCTGTGATCGCAATAATAAAGGCTTGGCTTGAAAATCAAACTCCCTAATGTATTATTGGTCAAATTAATTTTTCAAGAGAAAACAATTCTTTGAGGCCCTCCCAAGCCAAGGCCCCTAGCAACCACCGTGTTCATGTTAGAGATATATAGCCCTGAATACGAGAAATTGTTTTTTAATTTAAATATAAAAACAAAATTCTAATTTTATCTGGTATTAATATATTTAAATCCACCATAGGCCTATTACTTTATAAACAAAACCATAGTTTTTCATTAAACCTGCGAATGATTTCGATTGAAAAGGGAGCTTGTTTAGAATAGAACTTCTAGAACATTTCTAAGAAACCTTTTTGTCTTTTAATCGATTCTGCATAATCTTCAGTTTTTAGACCCAATAGTTTTCTCTACGCCAAATATAATTTTAGTTGTACTTATGCTATCATCGAAGAAATGCTAAGTGATTGGAATGCAATGGGCTGATCGAATATTTTTTGTAAATTCTTAGACAAATGAGATTACCTATAAACAATTTTTATCTGAGCTCAAGTCTTAATTTTAACTGTTTCGAGTTGTTAAAAGATGTTATTGAAGAAAAGTATTTTTCAATTGCATTAAGTTGATATTTCAATTTGGGTTAATCTTGAATTTAATATCTCAAATTCCTTCTTGTGATTTAAAGGGGTGTAATCATAGACTGGCAAAATAATTGGCTATAATTAGAGGTTTTAAGGCATTGGTTTGCTAAAAGAATGAAGAGCATGGTATATGGAACCCATTCAAAAGTTTAATTTGCTGTTGGTCTCCACTTGTGTAGAAACAGACGATAACTTTAAACCGCGAATTGTATTGACATTTAATATTTTAGTGATCTAGGAAACTTTTTATCAGCAAGTCCTTCTACTTTATGTAATTTGAATGCTTTGTTTAGTAGTATTACTTTCTTTAACTCATTGATCTCTGTATGTTTTTGGAGAATGCATACAGGCTTTTAAATCTAAAATCTTTATTTATATGTCGCTTTTATGTGTTTACCAGGCATACAAGATGAGGTAACCTCTTAAAACAGTTCATAGAAGCAACCTGTAGGATACAGTAATATAAAACATGTATAGCCAGCCACCAAACAGAAAAAAAACACTTAAAGTTTGTAAATATTTAAGCCCAAATAATATTATATTCTTTTTACCCTCAGTTTAATAACTTAAAAATTTCAAACTTGTTCATACTCTTTAACTCAACATCTCCCTTTGAACAAACATCAATGACCAAAAATACTTATGATAAAAACAAGATAAAAACTTCAAATCATAATTATTATCAGTGATCACTAACATCCTATCATATCTGACTAAACTCATAAAAATTGAGTAAATAAATTAATGTGATTTAACACTGACAGCCAAAAAATAGACAAAGTTTAGTTTTGGATAAGCTAAATTTAAAGTTAAAATAATTGTAGTTCACAATTACACAATTAAAAATGCATGAAAAGTAATTGGGAATATAGTTTTTAAATGAACTTAGGTGTGGTGTAGCTTTTTGATATATTGAACAGCAATGTTTTAAGTTTTCTTTCGTTATTCACATTTTATAAAATTCTTTCATCCTATGTGGTCAAAAAAGTAGTTTACAACTTTGTACTTTATTATTTAATATTTCTGTGTATAAATCATTATTTATTTTAAACATTTCTAAAGTCTGAAAAGTAAAGATATAGGGGAGTCTGGAAATTTAAAGAAAATAGAAAATAATTTATAATTTTAGAGATTAGAATTCTATGTAATTTGAAAAAATAATGGATCTTAAGGCCTATTTGCTTGGAGCGATTGCAGCGATATTCGCGCAGCGATAATTGCTCCGTGATAGTAGCTGGGCACTGTTCTAACGGAGTTTGCGTTGTCCTGTTTTGCTTAGAGCGACTGTCGCAAGAGTCGTTAGCTACAGTCGCGGACCACTGCCCTGGGTACCAGTCTTGCGATAATCGTGCCTTGACTAATGCACAGCGACACATACGCAGAACCTCAAAACAGTGCAGTTCACTCAGTAGGCACATTAATAATAGGGGTTAAAATAACCATGATTACTTTTTCGTTCACATTAGTTTTTCTATTCATGTGCTGTTACGATTGTACTGTTTTGGTTATATTTCCTTACACATTCATTCTACATTGTAGAAGAAACAGGCAACTCTTTATTTAAAGCAAACTTTGCATTGTCATTGCTCAAATAGTTGTGTATAATTTTTTTAGGTTACCCTCGTCTATTCACATTTAAATATAAAATGCTTGACTGTTCCAAGTTTACAATGTGTTATTTAGGTAGTGTGGGTGTTAACACTGTATCAGTTTTTTTGTATGAATACATTTTTTTATTTAGACTCCAGGTTTTATTTTTTGACTTTCATGTACTCTTATTGATATCACTAATTAAATGTTTTTATTGATAAATTTTTTTTCGTTGATATCACTACAGTTTTCTATTTATCTCCCATCTAGTTGCGTCTAGTGATATGTATCCATCCAAAATCTTACATATCACTTTTACATATATTTGTTTATCGATCGTCTATTGATACTTCCACTAGGGTCAAGTAGAGCCTCGTCTTCTAACTCCTCACTGAGGAGATACTTTAAAAAGTTGCATCACACACTCATGACTTCACCATTGTGAGTGCTGGTATTCAACTAACTATGAAAATGTTGTTCAAAGGTTTATTGCGGACATTTTCCATCACGATGGTAAAAAACGAATACCTAATCAAATCAATAGATACAAATCAATACCATACAAATCAATGATTATAGATTATAGTGTTTTGTGATTGGTTATTATTTGCATGTTGTATCATTATTTGACTGCTAATACAGTGCATAGTTTTTTACTGCTACCCTCTGTAGTGTATTCCAACTTAGGTTGGGCATTAGTGTATTGTTAGTTGTAATGTGTCAGTTAAGTTTTTTCACCTGAGGACGGGATCAGATTCCAGATCTCAATCGTTGTGTTTTGTTTTTTCCCATCGTGATGGAAAATGTCCGCAATAAACCTTTGAACAACATTAACTCACCATCACCAACAATGAACTTCAAACAAAAAACTATGAAAAATCGCGTGGTGACCGAAAACCAATCGCTCTAAGCAAAACGGCCGCCGCAACAGCGATAGTAGCTGAGTGATAATAGCTTTGCGACTCACTACAGTCGCTCCAAGCAAAATGGGCCTTTGAACAACCTAATTACCGTAGGACTAATTTCTATTGCACATCACTGCGATTGCCTATGGTTACTGCTCCATTTATTCCTTTAGCACCTGTAGTGTTTTTAGTGCTGAGCTTAAACACACTGTGATTGTGCCTGGACCTGTCTTAAGCCCCTATCCCTTAGATCAACGTCCCCAAAACTATGTAAATATGACCGTGCATAAAGCATGAATTTAATTTTAAAGTTGGAATGGGAAACCCTATTATTGATAGATTTTTTTTAAAAGGCTCTACAGTAGATTACCAAAAATTTCATCCAAGATGGGTGGGGATAAATGTCAACGAATGTGGACAGCTGCTTTCTCGTTATTGGACGCCTACGTTGGTTTATTACTGTTAGCCGATCAAATTATAACTGGTGATAAAACAGGTTGTAACTTCAATTGTAGACAAAAACATAGCCCATAAAGTGGAGGCACACAGAATCCACCCAGAAAACAATTGTTCTGCAATTTTCAGGGTTTGCAAACCATGTCAGCAAGGAAAAACCAACTGTGTTTTGGGGTGGTAAGGTTCGAGCTTATTATAGAACTATAAACTCTGAGCGGTACTGTGAAACTTAGAAGAGTAAACAAGCACCAAGGAAAATTGACGTCTACAATTTTACTATTTCATGACAATTATGGAACTCACAAGTCTAACTTATCCAAATGCTCTTAGATGCAGGTGGACAACAATGACCAGTGTTAATGTAATGTAAATAAAGCTTCAAATTATTATTTTGATAGTCTGTTGTTTATAAAACTGTATAAGAATACATACAATCGATGTTTTATCATTTGCAGATTGATGGAAACTACACCGGTGAACCCCCGCCTCTGGAAGTGACTATTTTTAATCTCAACGACAATATCGACAAAGCCTTCTTGCTGGAAAAGGTAAGTTTTAACATTTTCTGCACTGTTACAAAACAATTATCATTTCAATCTTACACAAATGTGGTCAATTCAATTACAGGCTTTAACAGATTTATCGTACATTCAAACATTGGCTTTTACGGACTACTATGGGTAAACTAAGTATACTATTTACAGTTTAAAATTACTATCAGCAGTAAAATACTGGATAAATCTCTAACAGAAATAACTGCTTTTCTCAAATTAATTTTTGGACACTTTAATTATGAATAATTTAATTCAAAAAGACACATACAGGTGACATTTTTTACAGTGTTTAACTTACATACTTCATGCTTTTTTGGGAAAAAATAATTTAATTGTGAATTATGTTAAATCAAATGTTAATGAACCTCTTTAATTAGGTTAGCCTTCTCAGTAGAGATGCAAGTTATCGTTGTTTCCCAGCAACACAACGGCGACAGCAACGTTTTTCACCTGACAATAACAGGTTGCCACATCCTGTTGTTCAGCAACATTGCTAAATGCCTGTTGTCAATGGGCATTGTGTCCCAGCGATTGTTTTTAAATAAGTTAGACGTTACTGAACATTTACTAAGAGGTGCAAACTGATCATCGACAACGTTTTACAAGACATATGACTCTACTTCTTAGCTCAGACATGTGTCTTGATAAAAGACAGTTAATATAAGTGATTCCTCACCTTGAGCTCTGAAGTGTTATTAGATGATAAAACAAAACAAAATAGGTTTTCCTGGGTAGCCTATTGTTAGGAACCTCAACTTTTCTGGCGCAATAGTTTTCTATTTCTTTCAACACTAAAATCAGGAAAATCCGTCAAGTGGTTGATTCAGAATCGTGAAATAAAATAACCCTGTCACGTTTTAATATAAGAGTAGTATAACTTCTCCTATTATTTACTATTGGGACTTAGGTTTACAATCTTAAAAACTGTTATTAACAAATGTAAAATTATTACAAAAAAATTCAACAAATTTTAGGATTAGGCTACTAGCTTTTACTAGTTAGGCCTAGGTTTACAATGCTTTGGTTTGAACTATTAGTCCTAGATTTACAGCTATTCTATCAATTGTAATGAAACGTATGTCATATTTTTACATGTAAGTTGGACGATTCAACGACGAGCCGTTAATTTTAAGTCTATGAATTAGTTATGAACGTCACGATGGTTAATGACTGAATTAATTAATGGTTTTGGTTTATTACGACATCCATTAATTTGTCCATTAAATTTGTCATCTTTGTTTGAGAACTCGCGTGTATTTTAGATTAATTTCATAGTGGTTTAATTGGTACTACTGGGTTTTCAATATGTTTCATATTCTGTTGTTTTCCTATACTAATGGCATTTATATTTATGATCGAAATCATAAAAATTTAATAGGATGTTGTACGATAAAATACAAAAAAATATCACTTTTTAATGATTTTTTAATTGCCATTTTAATTATTTAGGGTTAGGTAGCTGTTAAAAGTGGAATTGGTAACAAAAAACAATAACAATTACTGTATCTTTATTGACACTGACATTTTGAAATACGTCTGTGTATGATTATTTCGTCTACAAGGTTGGCAACGTTCCGTGCAGTGGGCTCGGCCGGATTAGCGACTTCCAGAGTTAGCCAATTCCGCTGCGGGACAAAATCAATTTAGCGGGTTCCGGAGTTAGCAAATTCCTGACTGGGACGGTTAGCCAGTTCCGACACACGACCGAGTTAGCGACTTCCAGAGTTAGCCAATTCCTATGTCTCTTCAAAATCTTACATATCTGCCACTAAAACTGTTTTTTTATTGTTTTCCAAACCATAGACTGTTTATTGTATCCTTATATTTATTTTATTAGGTCGAAAAGCTATCATATACCCAACATTCTTGTATTTTCAGTCAACTGTAAAAAAATACTACAAACCTATTTTTTTGCCCACCAAAGTTGCAAAAATTACATTAAACTTGATTAAATGTTAGTTATGTTTAGTTACAGTTTTATGTAGTTATGCAACAATGCAACACAAAATTGTCAAGTTCATACGTAGAATTTGTATATGGTGCAGGCTAGTAAGCTAGGGAGTAGATCTATAAGGTACATCCCTAGTTATGATGTCTATGGAACATTTTGCTTCAAATAATTTATGATCCATGATGTTCATTTAATACATCTTTCGACATATTTTGGTAAATCCACACTTCAGGCCCAAACAAACACTGAGATAATCAAAATGGTCTTTGTTTGCAGACTACTAAAAATCACACTTAAAAATAGCTTCCATACGAAAAATGTAATCGATAAGTTATTTAAATAACTCGATCTTTTTGTTGTTATTCATAATCAATTGTCCTGTTTATCTTGTTATTCAGGTACAGAAGGCGGGGCCTGTTGATGAGATGTTTATTTACTTCCACCCCTTGACCAACAAGCACTTGGGACTTGCGAGAATTGTCTTTGAAGATACCAAGTCAGCCAAAGCCTGCGTTGATCGTCTCAACAACACCTCAGTCATGGGAAAGTTGCTCAAAGTATTTCTCGACCCTTTCGGTAAGTTCCTGGATGTTTGGAGTCTGGACAAGATCGTGGGCGTATTGAAAATATTATCTGACAATATGGTTACTCTATAGTGAAGTGGTAGAGCAAGGGGCTTCAGTCCCTGAGGTCCTGGGTTAAAATTCTGCCAATCGACAATAGTTTTAGCTTAAAAAAAGAGGACAATTTAAACTACTTTAAAAGAACGCAAACATATTTTAAAATTTCTATTTTATTTTATAGAAGACTTTTTTCAAACAAAAATTATGATATTAATTTAGCCTCAATCACGGAAGACAATGATGCCTCCATGACCGCATGAGATGATTACGACTTTACCTTGAGTTTGGCTTGATCGAAAGTCTTAGGCTGGCACACCCTTAGTTAAAATAAAATTTTCTTTTTGTAATATCTTCATTTACCTTCAATGTGCCATGTGTTTGGAAGGGTTTAGACTTAAATTAGTTAGTTCAAAGTTGTATTGCAGTATCATTTATTTATTTTATTCTAAATCTCCTTCTTTTTCTCTACAAAATGAGCATATGACTAGGTTATCATAAGTAATTTAGACACTGCAAATTTCTAAAAAGAACTCTCGCGAAATCACAAAAATGACAGGGACATTCATCCAGACCATCAGGCAGTCCTAAGATTAACTAAAGAACAAATTAGAGGAGAGGGAAAATTACTTTTTGACACAAGACAATTAATGTAGACGTCATTAAACTTTTGACAGGCTACCATTTTGGATGGAGAAGAGATAGCCAACTCTGGTTTTCACCATTCTTTAAAGTTTTTGTAAACACCTTCAAATGAGGTGACACTTGAAGGGGGTTTACATTTAAACATTTTGAGTTACCTCCAAAATCCCCCTCTTTTGGGAGACACAAAATTTTCTAAATCATAAAATGAAACTGCCTGCTTGGATTGCATGATCACCAAAAGGATATCTCTGTATATTTACTTAGAATAATATTAGATGGGCTGTCTTGACTTTTTATCCACCCTGTATAGTCTAAATATATTTTTAAGTATTATTAGACATTTGTTAATGTAATTTCTGTAAAGTTAGAACAATATTAGATGGGCTGTCTTGACTTTTTATCCACCCTGTATAGTCTAAATATATTTTTTAAGTATTATTAGACATTTATTAATGTAATTTCTGTAAATTTAATAATACGTACAATCCTGATGTAGAAGTTATTTATTTACACTTTAATTCTGTCAAAACAAATTCAGTATTAGTGCCACAGTAGAGATGATCTTTTCTTCACACCAAACTTAGAAAGGTGTAACTAATGGTGTGTGATTGTAGGGAAAGAGCCTCTTGGTCACGGCAAACCTCCTGATATCCTTCTCCACATTCCAGTCCATGTAAGATCCTTATCCTCAATTCTTTTCTCCTTATTTTTTTGCCATAATATTTATAGTAGGCCTATGTAAAATTTAAAAGTCAAATAATACTGTACTTGCAGCTTTATACAACAAAAACCTAAAGTCTAAAAACCTCCCATGAATGCTTTGTTTAGTTGGCAATGGTCTTTATAGATTTATTTCAAAAAGTGCCAACTTCTTTTACACATGTATAATTTTATTGCTCAATTTCAATGCATTTGTATGCTAGTGTTTCATATTTGACACATTATTTGGATTAGTTCTTAAAACTTTTTTTTTTACCCTAATCAAAATCATTGGATGGTTCTTTTTAATATAAAACTGTTTTAATATTTCTTCAGTTGTCAGACCAATCTCTCTTTACTGATCTCACATTATCTTTCAGGTGAAGAGTGCCAGAAAAAGTTTACTGAAATGACTTCTGAGAAAAAAACTGAAAAAGAAGTCACGACTGTAGAGACTAAAGCGGAGGAGAGTTCTTCCAAATCCAAACCGAGTAAGGAAAAAGAAGAACCCTCGAAAGTCAAATCAACAACCACATCAAGTACGAAGTCTTCTGAAAAAGACAAGATTAGTGAAGAAAAAGAAGAGAAGCATAACCAAAATAGTGACTACCGAAATTTCAGAAGTCGGGATTTTCCTACACCAAATTCGTCAACCAGCTCAGATCAAGGATACCATACGACACAAAGTGAAACACCTACATACGGCAGTGGTTCTGAGAGGAACTACCCATCCAGCTTTGCTAATAGTACTGCCTCTCCCTTTGAAGCTCCTGCTTTTCCTCAGTTAAATCATGTTCAGCCTCTTCAGAGTATGGCTTTCACAATGCCCCCACCCAATATGGGGAATCCGGGTATTCCTCGTCCTCCTATTAGCATGGCTCTGCGCCACCCAAGACATCCGATGAGGCATCCGAGCATGCCGATGCCGTATCACATGCCACCGCATCACCCTCTACCTCCGCCCAACTGTCCCCCACCAAATTGTCCTCCCCCAAACTGTCCTCCGCCCAACTGTCCTCCCCCTAACTGTCCTCCTCCACATCATCCACCCCTACCTCCTCCCCCAATGGGCATGAGACCACCCCAGTGGACTAACTGGTCGCACCATCACCGCTGGGAAGGCCCACCAGGCCCACATCCTTTGCCTAAAAGCACTCCGACCTGGATTGCTCATACAACCATTGAAGAAAAAGGCCCACCTGTTAATGTGAAACCACAAATCAGTCCTGGGGCGACTCAAGGTGTAGGGCAGAGCCAGCAAAACTTAGATCTTGACACTAGGATAGAACTGCTTCTAAAAGAAAGAACAGCTGGAGGTATGAACCCACCTTTTCTAAAAATTATGAGTGATTCAGGGGAGTCTGATGATGATTTGAGGAAATCGCCGTCCAGCAAGCTAAAAGGAAAGCAAGATACGATAAACTCACGGCTGAAACAAGGTTTAGGAGAGAATCAATCGAATACGTCGTGCGACAGTTCTCTCCCGACTGACAAAGATAAGACTGTAGATGAAGAACCTCGATCTCCTCTTTCCCAGCCGCCTTCTCCCTTTGTATCTGAGGAAGCTTACTTACATTGGTATAGAAAGGGTATCGAACAAACGAGGAAAGCTAAAATCCAAGAGTTGGGATTTTTAACTAATGTAGCCAAACTCGCTTCAAAGGATGAAATTCACAGTGAAATAAGTTCAAGCGAAGATGAAATCCTTACAAGAAAAAGCCCTTCTTCCAAAGCAAATGAAGAGGAAATAGAACCTAAGTCGACTCCTCTTCAAGATGAGATTGACGATAGAATGAGCCTGTCAAGCTTGAGCTCAGGAGATGAGAAGATCGAGACTGTACCAACACCGTATCATCATCAGCCTCCTCAACATATTCCTCCGCCTCAACCCTTACATCCTCCTCTCCACCCCATACATCCACATCCTCACATGCCTCCTATGAATGGTCCACCACCAAGATTCATGTCCACTGTTCCACCCCCACCGATGCCGTACCAGCCGTACCACCACAACAATTACCACCAACCTCATTTCCCTCATATGCCACCGGTTCATCACCAACCGCAGCACCATCCACAGTACCACCAACCTCCTCAGTACAACCAACCTCCTACAAACCCATTCTGGCACAGACAACCGATGCCTGGAGGCCCAGGTCCAGGCCCAGGCCCAAGCCCATACCACATGTACAATATGCCCTCCTACCCCCAGTTCCATGGGAACTCACCTCATGTTAACAGGCCTCATTATCCCATGAGGCCTCCAACACCTGTTCAGACAATGCCGAACAACTTTCAGAACATTCCTCCGAGTACTCCAGCTTCACAACCGCCGCCGCTATCCAAACCACTTCCTCCTTTGCTCAAGTAAGTGACACTGTATGGGTTTATAAATTGATAATTAAATCATTGTCATGATAACATTTCAATATCTGCAAGAAACAGTTCTATGATTTATTCTCTGGAAGCTATGTTAATTTATTTCGCCCTTACATAGCCAACATGACTTGCTTTTGTATTTGTCTCAGTTCTTCATTTCTGGCTGTTGCCTTCCGGATTACTAAACAATTACTAATCTGGAGGTAACAAAAATATTTATAACCAGGTTTCTTCCTTGGCTAGTGACCTGGAAAACCTGGAAATGTCAGGGAATATTAAATATCTGGAAAAGTCATGGAAAAGTCAGGGAATTTCGCCATAAATCAGGGAAAATTGTAAAATGTTTAAAATAATTTTAATAATTGTTAGGAAAGGTCGATCTGGTGAGAGTACATATGCCGTGTGGGTGAAAACTAAGAAATATGTCTGTACAAATAAATTTTGTATTTTTGTACAAATTAAATTTTGTTATAAACTGCATATCATCTTATCAAACTCAGTTTAATTTTATTAAGGCAAGTTGCAAAGTTTGAATATAAACTAGCCTGTATCTATAGATTTTATGTATTTTTTTGAAACATAAGATATTCTTCAGATAAAGATTAGTCCTTTTGAAGAATTGGTTAGGATTAAAATTGTAATTTTGAATTTGTCGATCAGGGAAAGTTTAAAAAAAATCATGGAAATGTCAGGGAAAAGTCAGGGAATTTTTCAATGTGATTTCACTAGCCACCCTGTTGTATATCGGGTCACTATTTAGTCCGGTCAGGTGATAATCAGTCACAACCTTCTACCTAGGACCAATATCTCATCCCTCTTCTTCATTTTTGTAAACTGCACAGTAATGACAGCAGGATGCTTAGCACTTCTGGCTGGATCAAAAGATGAGCCGCTTCTTTCTATATTGTTATTCTCCAGGCTCACTTGTAATCCTCTACCACATTCATGATTATCTACTTAACAAACACATTTTTTCCGCTACTTATCTTTATATCAAATAACCTTTCTTCCATGTTTCCAGTCGTAGCGTTTCTCTGAGTTGTTAATTTGCTTATTCTAAAAATGAATTATTTTAATCAGATTATTTAGTTTCTTCTTTTTCCAGCGCTGACATGGTTTTGAACTGTATTTTTATGGATTCATTTTATCATTAATAAACAGCTGGCTTCTTTTCATTCATTTGCTTTGAACATACCATATCAACAATCCCCAATTAGTTCAGTATCATCTATAAGTTCTTTAAATTTACGTTAAGCATTTTCTAATATCAGTTGTCACTTAACACAGTAAGTCTTGTTATTACCATATGCCAATCTCAAAGAAATTCATTTTTCTTTGTTTAGCACTGTATTTATTCTAAAAATGTAGTCGACCCTTCTAAATATGTGAAAAACATTTTTTAATTTACTTGTCTGCAGTGATTGAAATTCTGACATTATTGTAAGTCTATTTATCCTAGTTAACATAATTTCTCGATGTTTGTAATATATATTTTCTATCCTATCTATTCTCAATCAACTGCTGTTTTATTGTAAGAAGCTCAGATGAGGTAAGGAAGAGCACCTTGAGTAATTTAATTTGTCAAATTCATCAGTTGCCTGGACATGAAGGGATCAGGATGTGCAATAATCTAACACTTGATTAAATGAGTATGGACCTACATCCACCCTTCTAGATAAAATAACTTGTCTATTCTTAATTATTTGGGATAAGTATTTATCCTAAAAAGAGGATTAACGCATGTGTTTTGGTAAAAAACATCCTAACATGATACTCGGTTCTTTCCTTTTATCACAAATATAAATTCAATGTTAAAGTCTCTTAAGGAATATAAAGGACACAAATGAAATGTGTATGTTTTCAGAGATGTTGTTGACGGTGTAACCAAAGAACTAAAACAAATCTTGAAAAGAGACTTCAATAGAAAAATGGTTGAAAACACTGCCTTCAAGAGTTTTGAGCTTTGGTGGGATGAGCAAAAACTGGCGGAACAGGTAATCGACTATTACAGTTTGTTTTTTTATCTTAACTCTTATATTTGAAAATGTAGGCCTATTCGTTATTTACATTATTTATGTTGAAGTTTTTATCAAACTATAGGTATGAAGTCATGACTACGGATTTCTATTGAGCTATAAATAGTGCTGTTGGCAGTGAATTTGTTATATATTATGCTACATTTGTGCTATATAACAACTTTATCTTTGTGAAACTATATATAAACTTGATTTGTTTTTATTTGACAATTTTTGTCAAGAGTAAAATTTGCTTCTCAGAGGCAGTTTACCAACAAAAATAGTAAGTCTTAAATAATGTCAACCACTTATAACTCATTATTACCATACTCTTCTACCAAATGCCATGTAGATTATTGTTTATTGTATTGTACATCTAGGAAGTAAAGACTGCTTCGGTAGAGTCAGGAGCCACCACTACAAAGCCTGTCCCTACAGAGTCTCCGTTGACCAAAGACAGTTACCTCAATTCTAACAAAGTGTTATTGTATTGTACATCTAGGAAGTAAAGACTGCTTCGGTAGAGTCAGGAGCCACCACTACAAAGCCTGTCCCTACAGAGTCTCTGTTGACTAAAGACAGTTACCTCAATTCTAACAAAGTGTTATTGTATTGTACATCTAGGAAGTAAAGACTGCCTCGGTAGACTCAGGAGCCACCACTACAAAGCCTGTTCCTACAGAGGCTCTGTTGACTAAAGACAGTTACCTCAATTCTAACAAAGTGTTATTGTATTGTACATCTAGGAAGTAAAGACTGTCTCGGTAGACTCAGGAGCCACTACTACAAAGCCTGTTCCTACAGAGTCTCCGTTGACTAAAGACAGTTACCTCAATTCTAACAAAGTGTTATTGTATTGTACATCTAGGAAGTAAAGACTGCCTCGGTAGACTCAGGAGCCACCACTACAAAGCCTGTTCCTACAGAGTCTCCGTTGACTAAAGACAGTTACAGGGTGTATACCAACCGGGAAAACCGGGAGAACCGGGAAATAACCTTGAATTTGAAGGGACCTGGAAAAAACCGGGAAAAAGCCGGGATTTTTGGACCGAATCCGGGATTTTTATTTTAGCCCCGGTAGAAGATTATAGTCGTAAAATGCGTCTTGCCGCGGTTGCGGGCGACGACGATGACGTTTTCGTGACCTCGGGAGACGACGATGACGTTTCGTGACCGCGGGAGACGACGATGACGTTTCCGTGACCGCGGGAGACGACGATGACGTTTCCGTGACCGCGGGAGACGGCGATGATGTTTACATGGCTGCGGTAAATATTCATGATTTTACCGCGATCGCGTACTTCGACGATTACGTTTCCCTAACCGCTGGACTCAATGATGATGTCTACACGGCCGTGGAAGATTTTCATGATTTGCCGTGACCGCGAAAGATGACGATGATGATTTCTACACGGCCGCGTGAAATACTCATGATTTTGCCGCGATTGCGACCTACGACGATGACGTTTCCGTGACCGCGGGAGACGACGATGACGTTTCCGTGACCGCGGGAGACGACGATGACGTTTCCGTGACCGCGGGAGACGACGATGACGTTTCCGTGACCGCGGGAGACTACGATGACGTTTCCGTGACCGCGGGAGACTACGATGACGTTTCCGTGACCGCGGGAGACGACGATGACGTTTCCGTGACCGCGGGAGACTACGATGACGTTTCCGTGACCGCGGGAGACGACGATGACGTTTCCGTGACCGCGGGAGACGACGATGACATTTCCGTGACCGCGGGGTCAACGATGATGTATACACTGCCGCGGGAAATATTCATGATTTTGCCGAGATCGCGGACGACGACGATGACGTTTCCGTGACCGCGGGAGACGACGATGACGTTTCCGTGACCGCAGACGACGACGATGACGTTTCCGTGACCGCGGACGACGACGATGACGTTTCCGTGACCGCGGGAGACGACGATGATTATGTCTACACGCCCGCAGATGTTTATGATTTTGCCGAGATCGCGGACGACGGCGATGACGTTTTCATATCTGCGAGAGGTAATGATGATGTCTACACAGCCGCGGAAGATTTTCGTGATTTGCCGTGACCGCGAAAGACGACGATGATGATTTCTAAGAGGCCGCGTGATATGCTCATGATTTTGCCGTGATTGCGGCCGACGATGATGACGTTTCCGTGACCGCGGGAAACGACGATGACGTTTCCGTGACCGTGGGAGACGACGATGGTGTAGACACGGCTGCGGGAAATATTCATGACTTCACCGAGATCGCGGACGATGACGTTTCCGTGACTGCGGGAGGCTATGATGATGCCCACACGGCCGCGGAAGATATTCGTGATTTGCCGTGACCGCGAAAGACGACGATGATTTTGTCTACACGGCAGCAGATGTTCATGATTTAGCCGCGATCACGGACAACGATGATGACGTTTACGTGACCGCAGGATCAACGATGATGTTTACACTGCCGCGGGAAACATTCATGATTTTGCCGAGATCGCGCACGACAACGATGACGTTCCCGTGAGCGTGGGAGTCAATGATGGTGTCTACACGGCCTCGGAACATTTTCGTTATTTTGCCGTGATCGCGGTCGATGACGATGACGTTTACGTGACCGTGGGAGTCAATGATGATGTCCACACGGCCGCGGAAGATTTTCGTGATTTTGCCGCAATCGTGGATGACGATGATTACGTTTTCGTGATCGCGAGAGATGGCGATAATGTATACATACCGCGGGAGATGTCCAGGATTTTTCTATGGTAACGTAAGACTGTGATGACGTTTACATCACCGTGGGAAGCGACCACACGACCGCAGGAAATATTCAGGATTTAGCCGCCGTTGATAATGTGTTCATAAAAAATGAAGATAATATTCATGATTTTGCTGCTATCGAGAGAGACAATGTTTCCGTGGACTTAAGTAATGATGATAATGAAAATTATTACTATAATATGGATTAATACTTTTTCAACACTAGCTCACTGGACTTTGAAACAAATTTAATGTAAGTTTATATTGTATACTTAGGCGGCAAGTCTTAGATTGATTATAGTTTAAGTGGAACCAAACAAATACGCGGGAACCTGGAAAAACTTGGAAAAACCAGGAAAAAACCTGGAAAAAACCTGGAATTTCACTTTAATAAAATAGTATACACCCTGAGTTACCTCAATTATAACAAAGTGTTATTGTATTGTACATCTAGGAAGTAAAGACTGCCTCGGTAGACTCAGGAGCCACCACTACAAAGCCTGTCCCTACAGAGTCTCCGTTGACCAAAGACAGTTTCCTCAATTCTAAAAGTGTTATTGTATTGTACATCTAGGAAGTAAAGACTGCTTCGGTAGAGTCAGGAGCCACCACTACAAAGCCTGTCCCTACAGAGTCTCCGTTGACCAAAGACAGTTTCCTCAATTCTAACAAAGTGTTATTGTATTGTACATCTAGGAAGTAAAGACTGCCTCGGTAGACTCAGGAGCCACCACTACAAAGCCTGTTCCTACAGAGTCTCTGTTGACTAAAGACAGTTACCTCAATTCTAACAAAGTGTTATTGTATTGTACATCTAGGAAGTAAAGACTGCCTCGGTAGACTCAGGAGCCACCACTACAAAGCCTGTTCCTACAGAGGCTCTGTTGACTAAAGACAGTTACCTCAATTCTAACAAAGTGTTATTGTATTGTACATCTAGGAAGTAAAGACTGTCTCGGTAGACTCAGGAGCCACTACTACAAAGCCTGTTCCTACAGAGTCTCCGTTGACTAAAGACAGTTACCTCAATTCTAACAAAGTGTTATTGTATTGTACATCTAGGAAGTAAAGCCTGCCTCGGTAGACTCAGGAGCCACCACTACAAAGCCTGTTCCTACAGAGTCTCCGTTGACTAAAGACAGTTACCTCAATTATAACAAAGTGTTATTGTATTATACATCTAGGAAGTAAAGACTGTCTCGGTAGACTCAGGAGCCACCACTACAAAGCCTGTTCCTACAGAGTCTCCGTTGACTAAAGACAGTTACCTCAATTCTAACAAAGTGTTATTGTATTGTACATCTAGGAAGTAAAGACTGCCTCGGTAGACTCAGGAGCCACCACTACAAAGCCTGTTCCTACAGAGTCTCCGTTGACTAAAGACAGTTACCTCAATTATAACAAAGTGTTATTGTATTATACATCTAGGAAGTAAAGACTGCCTCGGTAGACTCAGGAGCCACCACTACAAAGCCTGTTCCTACAGAGTCTCCGTTGACTAAAGACAGTTACCTCAATTCTAACAAAGTGTTATTGTATTGTACATCTAGGAAGTAAAGACTGCCTCGGTAGACTCAGGAGCCACCACTACAAAGCCTGTCCCTACAGAGTCTCCGTTGACCAAAGACAGTTTCCTCAATTCTAACAAAGTGTTATTGTATTGTACATCTAGGAAGTAAAGACTGCTTCGGTAGACTCAGGAGCCACCACTACAAAGCCTGTTCCTACAGAGTCTCCGTTGACCAAAGACAGTTACCTCAACTCCATCTTAGACCACAGAAGAGAACTAGATTCTTATGGTTCATTTGGACTTGGGTTCCGTGCCACCCTTCCTAAAATGCCATCATTTAGGGTAACTATATAATTCCTTTTTTTGTTTCCTAACCTTCTTATTCTACTTCTACTTTTGAATTGGAACATAGTTTTTTATATAGCTTTTTAAATTTGTTTGATTAAATTATTAAATATGATTTGTATACTTTTCTTCATGATGACTGATGATATATTCTCTAGTATTTATAATTAAAATATGTTCATAAACAAGCAAACTACAACAGTTTACTTATTTCCACTTATTTACAATAAACTATGGTTTATTTGATTTCATTTATCATTCTTGTGACAGGTTCTTTTTTCCTTCTGGCCTTTTGTCTATAAAGTACAGTTTTTTTTTCTTTTGATGTGCACTTTTTTCTTTTTTAGCGAATTTCCCTATAGGGAAGTAGCTATTACCGTAGGTGGCACGGTAAGACCTAGACCCGGGACCGATTTACTTTTTCATTTCGATGTCCCCAGAGGCCAAAAACACCATTCGTTCAAATTTTAGCGAATTTCCCTATAGGGAAGTAGCTATTACCGTAGGTGGCACGGTAAGACCTAGACCCGGGACCGATTTACTTTTTCATTTTGATGTCCCCAGAGGCCAAAAACACCATTCGTTCAAATTTTTATATATGTATATATATATATATATAGACTTATATATATATATATATATATATATATATACGTCCGTGAACGCGATAACTTGAGTAATTTTTGTCCGATTTTGATGAAATTTGGTTTAAAGGTGTAAAGCGGGATAAACTTGAATGAGTTCGCGAACCAGCACGATCGGACCATGGGAACGGGGCTTTACGGGGGGTTTTATGGGGTAAAAATTGGTTTTTCTCACTTTTGACCCTCAAAACACAAAATTTCCCGATTTCTCTTTAGACCTCTTTAAAGAGCTTAAAAAAACAAATAATTTAGTATATAAAAGTATTTTTGTTCGATTATTAGTAACGGAGAAAATTAAAAAAATTGTAAATTTAAAATACCCATGTTATTCTTATGGAGAATATTGTCAAATGTTGTAGTTTGCTTGTTTATGGATATATTTTGATCAAACTTGGCAAATTTATTTATTTTGTACTAAGCTATCAATATTTTACTCAAAAACACACTTTATTAGTTTCCTTGTAGCAGCAAACCTAGGTACTCGTTAAACCTAATGTTATTAAAATATATTTCACTGAAAATCAATTCAGACAAATGGAAATTCGCTTAGTCGGCAGGTTTGCTGCGGCGGGGGTATTTATATATGTATATATATATATATATATATATATATAGACTTATATATATATATATATATATACGTCCGTGAACGCGATAACTTGAGTAATTTTTGTCCGATTTTGATGAAATTTGGTTTAAAGGTGTAAAGCGAGATAAACTTGAATGAGTTCGCGAACCAGCACGATCGGACCATGGGAACGGGGCTTTACGGGGGGTTTTATGGGGTAAAAATTGGTTTTTCTCACTTTTGACCCTCAAAACACAAAATTTCCCGATTTCTCTTTAGACCTTTTTAAAGAGCTTAAAAAAACAAATAATTTAGTATATAAAAGTATTTTTGTTCGATTATTAGTAACGGAGAAAATTAAAAAAATTGTAAATTTAAAATTCACATGTTATTCTTATGGAGAATATTGTCAAATGTTGTAGTTTGCTTGTTTATGGATATATTTTGATCAAACTTGGTAAATTTATTTATTTTGTACTAAGCTATCAATATTTTACTCAAAAACACACTTTATTAGTTTCCTTGTAGCAGCAAACCTAGGTACTCGTTAAACCTAATGTTATTAAAATATATTTAACAGAAAATCAATTCAGACAAATGGAAATTCGCTTAGTCGGCAGGTTTGCTGCGGCGGGGGTATTTTTACTTGAGGTATGCTCAGTTTTGCTGATAGAAAATGTTACAGTAGCACTCCAAATATTCGGAACAATTGAGACCAGACCCCATCTGGATACCCAACAATCTAATTGAATTGTTCTTAAGCGAGTTAGTGTAACGTGTAACTAACTGTCCTCTGTTTTTAGAAAAAGGTACCACCACCACCACCACCAGAAGAGTCCAGGGACGGTGAAGAGCCTATGGTCGTGGAGGAAGAAGAAGATGAAGATGATCCATCTCAGGTGAATACAAACTCTCTAGTCTCTAGTGAGTTGTTTAGACAATTTATTGAAGTACAGCTAACATTGTGTTTAACCCTTTGCCCGCCATAAGTGAGTATAATTGAGCACCACAAACATACTGCCAGCACCATTAGTCCCTGTACCTACCTACTCACATAGTCGTTTCTATCCACAATTATTAGTTATGACTATGAGCTCAGTAGTCCCTCGAGTACAGTAGTTCTTCGATAATTTGGATCCTACCCTATCCGGCTCAATCCCCCCTTAAAAAATACATCTTTTAAAGTACCAAGACAGTTACCAAGAACAGGAAAGTCAGGAATTATGATAATGATCATAGTTTTTGTGGGAATATGGGGAATTTTGATATTTTACCGGAAAAATCTTATTTTGATTTTAGTGCGGTCACAGCAAAAACTAAAATATCTTCTGTGGTCACCGTAAAATCGTAAATACCTTTCACAGTCACGCCAAAATGGTGAACATCTTCCGAGGTCATGGCAAGATTGAGAACATGTTCAGTAGTCAGTTTTTGAGATACTTAATTTCACAGGCATCTATATTGATTACAGTTGACCCCCCCCCCCTGGATAATCGAGGTTTACTATATTCTGTTTTCTGGTAAGTAATTGTACTGTGGAGGTTAACTATTCAGTAACTGCCTTAAGTTTCCTCCGCTAACCTGTTCATGGAAAAACTTTAAACATGTTTCCTATAATCCCAAAAAGTACAACCTTGTAGCTGAATTTTTCGTGGCTGCTAGGCTACTATGTTTTGCGTTATAACCTGCAAATTGATTGTGTCTCTGTTTAATTGATTGCCTACCACATATTCTTAGTTCATTAATCAAATTCTTTCTAAAATTTAGCGGCTAAGTTTTTTTTTTATATTAAGCTAAAACGAATTAAACAAAGTAATATTGTTTTTGTTTATTTTCTTCAACACAAAGTTTATATACTCTATGATTGGCAGGGTGACTCAGGGATTGCCTCTCAGAGTAAGGAAAGTCAAGAGTCTGAGGAGGTTCAAGATGATAGCACTAGTAGTGCCTCTGACTCTTCCTCAGACGACGATGACTCATCTTCCGACTCTTCCAGTTCTAGCGAGGATGAGCCTATCATCAAAGCTTTGAGCTTCCTTGACGTTGAAGACATTGAGAGATATTTGTCGTAAGTAATTTATCCCACCCTTGCATTGAAAGTCTTAAATGCTTTAACTGACCCATTTGTCTTTGATCACCCTTAGAATTAGTTGGCGTTGTATTTAATATCATGTTCATCTTGCAGTAAAGGCATTTTTTGTCTTATGAGAGATATCAACATTTCTGGAAACATCATGTTTGTTGTGAGTTGTGTCAACTGTCCTTACAACCCTTGTAAAGGTGCAAAGTACATTTAAATTTAGGGATGGGTCGTTTATTAAAGTCAGTTGTCGGTTTTACCGGACAAAGGAAAAAACCGGTTTTGTTATTTTGTAATCATTTTGCTGGTTAGGAGAACATAAAGGGCTTATCAGATGTTTGTTTACGACTTTCATAATTTATTACTCTGTTAATGAAGCAATAAAAAACTAATTAGCAGTCCCAAACCCACTATTATTTTATAATAATAATTTATCATACTTCCAAGAACTCAGCACATAAAGGTTTTATTACTTAGATTGTTAATCTCTTTATTCCCTTATTTTTTACTGGGGTAATTATGAAATCTAAAAGTCTGTTATCATGGTAATGATAGTTTTATGATGGTTGTCTCAAACAGTATTATTGTGGTGGATTATTTTTACCGATGGCTTTTGCCTACAGGGCCGGTTTAACCCATACGCAAACTACGCGGCCGCATATGGCGCCACAAAAAAGCCAACGGAACAATTTTTTTTTAACAACGTAATTTTGTTTATTTTTGCTCAGAGTTCAAGCATTCAAAGCACCACAATCAAGGCATTTATTCTGTTTGTACCAACAGCACTTGAAAAATGTGTATATTTGTACAGCCCTACAACAAAGACTTAATGCCATTTGCAGTTTCGTTTCGATTTGTAGTGAGCTGACGCTCGGCAGCGTACAGCGCGGCGCTTTTGGGTTTAATTTCATGACTCATGCTCGAGATAAGCAAGCGCGCAGCACCACTTGTTACAACAAGAAACTTCCCTCCCTTCTACTTCTGATACCTCTCCCGTCCTGGAGCTGAGCATTACGTTGTATTGTATTGCACTCTTTTAGTTGTATACTACACCTGTTCTGAACCAGATTGATACCGACTCAGCAATTAAAGAATTTGCCAAGATCAAAGCTAGGAAAATTAATTTTAACTGCTAAGAGCTTTTCTGTTCAAGAACTGTTCAAATTGAAAATTTGTTATTCTTTTTGTCAAGGTAATAAATTTGTTTTTTCATGTTTTCTACATGTTTAATGTGTTCAATTAAAAATGCCTCTCTTGTCATCTACCTACACCTGTTTTTCATTGTAATAGGCTTTGTAAAAACTTATATCGTATCCAAGTTATTTGTAAAAATTGTGTTCACATTTAGAAATACATTTTTAACTTAGGCCGTGATGCTCGTCAAGCATGACGTCACGATAGACGACGGCAATGACGTAGGTATTTATTTTCCAAAGAAAGATTAAAACAAACAGCTGATCACTAACGGCAAACATTGCGCCATTGCCGTCTTCTATAGTGACATCATGCATGACGAGCATTAGGGACTGTTTTTTTAGTGTGGCCTTGGTTTTGCTAAAAATTATATGATGAGTAAAAGTGTAAAAATGTTAAATTTCTGGGAATAATAAACAGTCTTTTATTGCAAGTATTCTTCTAACCTAAACTTATAAAAAAGTTCTCTTCCCAAAATCGTTAGGAAAAAATTCACAAATATAGTTAAGTAATGTTCATGGGTTGTGGGGGGAGTGGGTGGGGTGGTAAGGGGGGATTCCAAATGGCGCTGATTCGGGTGTTCGCTTAACTCTGAAAAATTCCTAGAACCGGCCCTGATTGCCTACTCCTACTACCATAGAATTGTTTATGGTTTCATATTAAACGTGTAACTAATTTACAGTTATATATTTAATACTTAAAATATGTTTTAACTATTTTATCGTCAATTGATGAAACCACAAGCATGGTTGTTTGCATGTTTTTAACATTACGCAGGCCTACCTTTGTCTTATAATGTTGATTGTTTAGGTTTGAATATTTTTTGTGTTGTATACCTTATGCAACATAAATCTTATCAACCAGAATGATGTAGTGACTTTGCTAGTTCAATAACCTTTTTTTTTTTTGTTATTCAAGCAATTTATAGTAAGTTACGATTTCCATTTTTTTACGTTTGTACTACCTTTACATGAGTAGAGAGAACATTTTTATTTAAATAAGTTATTTAAGGGAAAACCCGAAAACCGACAAACGAGAACCGATTTAAAAAAAAACCGAACCGATAAAACAGCAACTGACCCATCACTATTTAAATTATTTGTGTACTTTTATGCCTTACATTAAGATAGATTGGGGTTAGTGAAGATGCATGTCTTGAATTTAGAATCAGTGGTTTTTGTAGCAAAAATTAACATTAGAGTGTGAACTAAAAAGTAGGGATGGACGAGATTGAATTTTTAGTTCGAGACGAGACGAGACGAGATTTTTTATTTCTCATAAAATTTCGAGACGAGATCGAGACGGGATTTCCTTTCTCATACACAACGGGAAATGCACGTTCAAAATTTTTACCTGATTTTGTAACATTGTTAGATGACTGTTTAAATACAAAAATAATGATAATATGCAAGAATATTTACAATCTTTTATTAAAAAACATCAGCATAACATTTTTTTATTAATCACGCCTAACTTATTAAAAATGCCTACGATTAGGAAACATAGTGATATCAGTTAGGATAGAGTTCAACTTATCCTAAAATAAAATAAATCATAAAATAAAAGCAATATTAATTTTTATAAAAAATAGTTACTTGTTTTGACTTTTTATTGTAATAAAACATTCCTCACACTGCTTACACTTAACAAAACTTCTCAAATGTTATTAAAGTAATATTATTAAAATAATTAGAGTAATATTTACATTTATAGAATTAATTAAATAAGAACGCCTTCGCAAACGAAACGCAACTACAACACGCTCCTGTATTGCGGGTATTGCATTGACTGTCTGCAGGCGTTTTTAATTTTTTTTTTTTTTTTTTTTTTAAATTCTCGTCTCGATAAAAATCTCGGCCAAAAAGAAATCTCGTCGAGATTTAAAATTTCCCGAAAATTTCCCGAAATTTCGAGACTTGACCATCCCTACTAAAAAGTTAAGAAGTAAGATTGCTTAAACTGCCACTCGAAATACTTGGCACGGTGAACATAAAGTGGGCAGGAACAAAGCTACACAAGAGCTCCACTTTCACACATTTCTGGTCTGAGATGCACCTAGTTGTCCTCTTTGAGATATACAATGATAAAGAAGAAATCAATCTGTAGGGACACTGCATTATGTACAACAAAACTCATTAAATACCCTATTGAACAGCCCTTACCAAACTCACCACTTGCCAACTATGGTTCATGCTTCAAACTCAGTATGTAGAATTCCTTATTGACATTTGAGATTTTTTACAGGCCAATACGTAGATATTATTTCACCTTACCAAAAACCAGATCTTTAACATCAAATTTATTTATTTGGTGAGAACAGCCTTCTTAAATAGCAACCTTATTGATGTGAACTATTATTTAATATGATATATATACTATTATTTAATATATATTTATTTAATATATTTATATATACTATTTTTTAATATATTTCACCCCACATTCGTGTTATTTTGTCACTAACTAGAATAAAATAGTGTAAAACCTTTTTCATGTTAAAACAAGCACCAGAGGTTCTGAAAATTAAACTATTTTATTTCAATTAGTTAAAATATTTGTCCACAAATAAAAGAACAAAATCCCTTTACAGATAAAACAAAAAATAATAAGTCCTTTGAGTAGATAATTTAAATAGGGAAATTATGTATCTCAACAATGAAACCCAATCCAAGATCTAAACAGAAGAAAGGAGTTGCTTATCATTAAAAGTTTGACTTCAAACAGGCCTATTGAATTTTACTGATAACAAGTGAGCCCTTTTGTCCTTGGGTTCTTTCTTTACGGTAAAAACCATGTACTTTGAAATAATCTAATTACTGCATTCACTAATACAGTGGTTTATAAACTGGGTTTAACACATTCACTTCTTATTTGTAAGTATCAAAACATATATTTAGAACTTATTTTGCATTGATCTACTGGTTTACCCAGCTGTCAGCCACCATTCATCTTAATCTACAAAACAGGTTAATTGCTCAATTAGTACTGTATCAAATTTATTAATGCTATGAAATCTGACCTTACAGAACGAAAACACCAACTGGTCTGAGCACTCCCATTCCGTCCGATACAGAGAGCTGGATATCAGAAAAACCAGATCTGACTGTTTTTGAGGTGGAACTAGAAGACAGTGAAATGACTATGGAAGAGCCAAGTCAGAGTGTAATAGAGGAGATGGATGTGATGTCACTGCCCAAGACTCCTAGAGTGGACCATTCTAGTGAGAGTGAGGATGAGACGACGTTAGCCAAGCGGAAAGAGAAGTTGGAGAAGAAAGAAGAACCTGTGCTGTCTCCTCCTCAGCTTTCACCTCCTCATATCAGTAAACCAGGTAGGAGTTAAAACACAATTGTGTCATAAAGATTCTTTACTCCCCCTGCTTTTGCACACAAGTTAGTAGTTTGCACATAAGTTTATTGTGAAAACCGTGCGACTTTGATTGGTTGTCTCTTAATAATAGGGCTCTGTGGTATAGAAAATTTACGGTCAGTACAATTCGGTACGGTACATTATTTTGTGCCATGATTCTCGGTACGGTGGGTTGGCTACCTGTAATTTTACCATTTTCTTCTCAGGATTGTATTCAAACCATTATTTTTAATTTTATTACTTTGACATTACTATAAAGATGGATATTATCCTACATTCATGGTTCTCACAGTACTATTCATTACTAAAACCTTTAACTTCTAACAGGATTGTCTCAAGAAAGAAACACAGTTAAGATAAAGGCTTTTCCTACTTTATTACTAAAATAAGTCATAGCCATGATAAAAGGTTTTAAAATTAGGTTAAGTAATTTTAGGAACTAACATGTTTGAAGCAACAACCTGACAAAAAGATTCAACGTTACTGGTAACATTATTCCAACTAACACTTAATAACTGGGTGTTTAGTTTAAACTTTTAAACACATATCAATTCAATTCATTCTACACAAAAGTAATCTCATATAGTCCATAATAATATTGCAAATATTCCACAATATCTACAAAAACTGGTTAATACTGTCTGGTTATAAATGAATAGCGTAGTAAAAGTTTTGTAACAAAACCGTTTTCCTGTATACCTGAACTTAATACACTATTTCATGTAAAGATAATTATAACAGATGGGATTATGACAAATGAGACAGTCCTTCCTTAGGACTGTGTAGTGCAGTTCTAACCTACAAATTGATTGTGTCTCTGTTTATTATTGTATTCATCGGTTGTCTTTTTTTTATGATGTTTTAATTCATATTTAAAATTTTGTTACTAAAGTCAACTTAATTTTTCTAGCCGTCCAGAAAGAGAAGTCCCGTTCAAAAGCTAACGGTGTGATGCCAGATGCAATGCGGGACATTTTGGAGCAGAAACTGCACAAATCAAAGAACAGAACAGCACCTCCTCACATAGCCCAAGACCACTCTTACTGTTTGCCTGCTATAGACGTACCTGCATACATCAATCATGACCACGGCTACAGTTCCAAGAGTAAGGGACGAACCACTGATGAACCTGACCTCAAGAGAGCCAAGACTGAACAAATAACCACTCCTGCACCCAAGCCGAGGTAAGTTTAACGTCTATCAGTAGAACCTCTCTTAACCCTTACCACTCTCGTGTCGGCCGTGAGCCAACATCGGCCATTTCGCAATCGTATCACATGTTGGCTTAAACAAAAATTAATTAATTAATTTAACATTTTTTTTAAATATATTTTTTTAAATTTTATTATTAGTGTAATTGGAAGTTAAAATACTGTTAGACATAATGACCCACGTTATAAATTAAACCTAGAGCATAGGGCATAGGCCCTTAAAATGAGAGAAGTAAGGATTAAATGAAATGGAGGGGGAATCTTTTGGATAGCAAAAATGTCTGTTATAAATGAAAGCTTAACCGTGCAAACTGGGGCATAATGCACTGACACTTTAGAGAATCTAACAGGCATTTCTAGGGTTAAAAAATCATTTTAACAAAGATTTACGATATTGTTATGTCCATTAACAGTTCTTCAATCTCAATCAACAGTTATTCACTGTATCAACCTATGTAATCTGTATGAAATATTATATTTTATAGCATCCAATTTTTTAAAAGTAATATGCACAGCTTAGATTGTTTTTGTGCCATACTCAGAAGTAGCATTTGTTATGATTATTGATTATGATAACAATCATGAAGCGTTGTCAAAACAAGTACAAGGATGGATAAAAAACACAATAATACATTTGATTAATTCTATTGTCATTGGGATTTTTTTCTAGCTTTATTAACTATTTATAAGGCATAACTACACATTCATAACAATATAAACCTTGTTTTGCAGTAAATCATACTCTAAGCGGCCCATCATGGAGGAGATGCTTATTCTTTATGAGTTCCTCACCAAGGGTATTGATGAGGAAGACGTCAAGTATATGAGGCAGAGCTACGAGGCACTACTGTCGTCAGATGATAGTGTCAGTTACTGGCTCAACGACACTCATTGGGTCGACCATCCAAATATCCTTTACTACTTCATACCTTGTTTTACTTTTTCTTTTTAATACTTTCTTATGAAATGGCGAATTTTAAGCCAAGTATGAATGGAGATGAGTGTAGGATGAGTGGCGCGTTCTTGTAGTCTTGTTAGTGACTAAGGCTGACATTCCTTAGACAGCTGTTAATTAATAGCCCAAACAGCTAATGGCAACTAAGGGACCTACAGTTTGTAGTGGAATCCGAACCACATTTTTTCCTTGGTATATATGAATTGGTCTAATTATCAGGATAGTACTGCGGATAGTCGTAATACTCACTACTAAATTTAGTTTTATCATATACTTTCAAGTCTCTCTAACTCAAAATTCATGGTACAATTTTTATTAGGATTATATGTAGTCCTACTTAAATATATTGTGTGTTGTTTTGTAGAGGTTTTTTTATATTAAACAAGGCTTTATGAGGTAAATTAATCTAAACTCTGAGTAACTCAGATTAAAAACAGAGTAATTTATTTCTAGGGATGGGCCGATTCTGACTTTCAATTTCCAAATACATCAATTCATTGGGAACCGAGGAATCGTCGATTCTCGATTCTCGCGCACTAACCTTTTAAAATTGTGTTTTTCCTTGTAAGAGTCTTAATATGTTTCTGTTGGATTTGATGTATAAATAATGATTAACAGATAGGTTCAATGTGTTCTGCTCAAATAACATTACACTTAAGTTACGGAAACATCGATATTTCAATAGTTATTAAAAAACGTCGGTTACCTAGGCCTACCACCGACGTAAAAAACATCGAACATTGATGTTTAAAAAGTATCACCAATCAATGCTCATATTCCTAGACGTACGGTATATTGATATTGACTATCGTACTTGACTCGTACTCTACTATTTCAAGTCGTTGGTGCGTAATGTAATGCCGTTGAGGTTATGTATGTATGTGATTTTAAAATAAGCAGTATAAATCTGAAAATGGCATCCAACAAACGAAAGAAAAGCGATGTATGGGAATTCTTTTCTAAGGAAAATGAAAATAGCACGTTTGCTGTTTGCAACATTTGGAATTCCACTAAACACATGTTAGACAGGCTTTTAGAAGAATGGAGAGCCATTTCATAAGTGGCTATTGAGCTAAGCAAGCCCATGTATATATACCGACTCACCATAAACCAGATAAACTCACCAACTCACTCAGCGCTATTTAACTTGATGATTATTGAAAGTTTGAAGTATTTTCCTGAACACAGTGCACTTACAGACCTATCTTCCGATGTGCCCAAGAATATGAACAAGGACGACTGGCATATACACAAAACTGGTTGTGCAAGGAGTGAAGGGTACTACAAGATAGATAGGGTGCAGAAGGCCAAACATAAGGTATTTATATACATAGGTAATTAGTTTTGTATGAATCTCATCTTATTTAATGTGTAGGTAGGAGTCTAATTAATCCATACCTTTAGAACTCCTTGTATCCGTCAGGTTCAATAATCCGTCAATGGTCGGAACACAAAAAAGATCTTACCAAAAAAGGTTCAGGGTCAGGTTAATCGTTATTTACATCTAAGAAACATATTATTGGTTTGTCAAAATGTAATCTCAAATCTCAACATCAACCAAAATATTTGGAAAAGTTACAGTTTGAGATTTGATCTGCAATTTTCAAAATTCTAATCAAACCAAATAAAAAACTATGATCTGATAATAAGATAATTCAGAGAGATTAAAAGTTCAATTTAAAAATAGAATCACCTGGTCCCTATAATGATGTTTTTAAAATTAGATTGTCTACAGAAATTTGATCTTTTCAGCATCATTTTGGACAAAACTTGGCCCCGAAGGAGGCTGAATCTGAGAAACCAGATCCGATCTGCCCCAAGCCTCACATGGGCAAGATGTTGTCTATCTCTCGTGAGGCTCGTAGTAACCAGCGTCGTCTGCTAACTGCCTTCGGAACTGTAACAGACAGTGACCTTCTCAAGTTCAACGGTCTTAAGGTAACAACCCTCAATTTTAGTACCTAATACAAGTTTAATATTTGTGGTGTGTGGATTATTAGTTCAGGAAAAAGCCTTTCTACATTAGAAAATACTTTGAAATAAACATTAAAAGATCTGGAGAGTTGTTTTGAATCAAATGGAGTTTTTACTAAATTAATGCAATTTCCAGGACTTCCATATCGTTTATAATTTTTTATTTTACAGAGCAGTATGGTAGTCCTATTAAATTGCATAATCAAATGTGGAAAAAAACTGATAACTCGGTTGTTTGTCATCCGATTTTAACAAACAAGGTCTTATTTGATTTGGATTTTAGTTCTCTATCTTTTTGGTCTGAAAAACAATTTTCTTAATATTTACGGGTTCCATGAAATTTGGCATTAAATATTTTAAATGGCCGCCATATTGAAACTTTGTAACTTTGTATTAATTTTGCATGAATATGACGTCCTCGTCGCCAATGTTACATCTGTACTTAATAAAACTATGCCAATACGCACTAATTGATAAATTATTACTGATTATGTAATACGTAAGTAATTCTACCACAGGAGGAAATGATGCGTGCGATCATACCTGCGTTCTGTAGTCATCTGTCCGTCCTTTCGTCTAGAGTGGGCATGTGGGATGAAGGGTCAAAGTTCAGACTAGGCTATTATTGTAGGCTATTTGTATTAATGAAATAAAATATCTTCTGTTGCTTTAAACCAAATAATCTTTGCTTTACTACAAAATGGATTGTAATTGTTATGGGAAAAGTGAAAAAAATGCTTTATAAAGTAAAATACAGTGTTTATTTAATACAGTAGTCAGGGGTGCCCACAAGGGGGGGCTGTGACGCAGACTGCGTCATTGAAATTCTTGGGGGGGGGGGGGCTCAAAAATTCAAATGGGGGGGGGGGGTGGCTAAAGCTAATTGTAACAGTGTTCAACGTGACAACAATCCAAAATATATTACGAAGCCGCTAGATAGAAAGTGGATTAATTATAATGACAATAGTTATATTATTGAATTCAATTACTTAAAAAAGGATTTTAGGATGGTTTAGGATTCGTGTAGAAAGTTATTATTCAAGATTAGCAAGACGTGAGATCTACGAGGGAGCGCACGGGATGGCTCAACTGCTGTGATAGATAAAAGATAACGCGTGGTACAGACACGTCCAGCTACACCGCGACTCAGCACAGAACACTTTGTTGACATAAAACTCGTTAAAATACAATTAAGTAGCATAGGCTACAATACTTTGCACTATTGTGTAGATACTCGATTATCTGAGTTAATAGGGAGGGGGAGTAATGAAAAATACGGTTAATCCAATATAGTATAAAAACAGAATGATGACAAACCCATTAAAACGCTGTAACAGCCATTAACGTCACGATTTGCATTCTTATAAACGAAATTCAATATTGCACAATCTATCTATATATATAATACGCTAAGCCGATTTTTGTGAACAGAACTCCTCCCTCATTTTTGGACCGATTTTGATGATTAAAGTGTCAAAATAATTGCCCTGATCCGTGGTTTTGCAAAGTCTTTTTTGTTTTTTGATATCTTTATTAGTTTGGACAGGATCATCCATCAAAGTTGGGTTTTCTTCCATAAGATTAACATGGGGGAGTCTAAATATTTAATTGGTAACTTTGTCTTCACTAATTTGCGAGAATGGCTGGGCGTAGAAACTTGGTAGAGGTGTCCAAAGAAAGGTCTTGGTCTGTAGATGACTTATCAAAAGAAAAACTAATTAAATTAGCTTAGGGCTCTGCCCCAGAAGCCTTTAAGATCCCTCCACAGATTTGTTTACATTTTGGTCATGTGGATAAAACTTTTTAATGAAACAGCTGTTAATTTTTAAATTGTATCATATTTAAAACAACACACATTTATTGGGAGTTACTGAATTCCAAAAGTATTTGAAATGTTATTTTCTGATTTTAAAATGGATTTTATTCTGTATCATGCCATGTTTTGAAATATAACGTTCCATTACGAAAAATCAGTGGAAAATCCTTTTTTCACAATAGACAATTATTTCTTATTGAACTATCTAATTGTATCTAATTCACGGGTTGGTGTCTGACTTTTTCACAACTTTTCCCTATAGTTTGTCATAATATTCTAGACATATCATCATAGGTTCATGAGATTATTGTCATACATGCTTTCAATCATTGAAAAAATCTTCGATGGTGTAATACAATACCTACAAAATAATACAAGCGCAGAAGAGCACGGTGCCCATTTGAGCCGTATCCATATTTTGTTAAATTAATAGTGGTTTACAGCAACTGGATAAAACATTTTACAATATTTATGTAGAAATATGTGCATGATTTAGAAAGTCATTAAGTTGGAAAACTGCAATATACTGCGGACTTTTCAGAGAGGTTACTTCGATGTATTTATTCAGCTTAGTGAAAACATAATAATATGTATAGATATGTATATACAGTACAGTATCTATACAGTATAACAGTATAGATATGTAAATAAGAACTTGAACTCTTAGAGAGCCTTTGAATGTTATTAGACTAACGAGAAGGGTACGTGTTGTGCATGTTTAATAGCTCTACTCAGCAACAAAAACCATTTAATTCATCTCTAAACTATATATTCTTAAAGTGCACTGAGCAGCAGCCTAAAAATCTATGTAACTTACCCATATAGTATAGTTACAAAATGCTCAAACTCGCATTGTGACATTTATAATTCGGCTTATATTTCTCCAACAGAAAATTCATCCGCAGTAGAATTGTATTGTGCTCTTACCGTTTCTAATAACATCCAAACACAATTGTATCTACACATCACACATTGTATCTTGACAAATTATTTACTGTGGCCTATATTAATTACGGACCGTGGCCCACTGTTTTGGTAACATTAAAATAACACGACATTTAGGCTATAAAAATGGCCCAATGAGTAAATACTATTTAATCAGCGACGGAAAAGTCATATTTCTTTCAAACTAGATCACATCATACTTTATAAGATACGTTGATCCAAAATGTATGCATCAATATTTACGTAACAGCCAATTTACATTACTTTTTGCTTTTTGGAAATGCTACATTACTATGTAATTCGCATTATTTTTTGCCAGTGAAGCTGCACGACCATATAAATTAGGAGGACAATAACAGTTCAAGAATAAAAGCTAACATTCCTTCAAGTATACTCCACTACACCTAACATTCCCTAGAAAGATTATATTGACAACTTTATGTAATTGATAGGGCTGAGACAACTAACTGACATCCACCATTTCTAGGAATTCCAGCTTAACCAGTAACCCCACAACCAATTTCTCAAAACTTCAAAATTTTAAAAACGCAATTAATATCATTATTGTTTTTACGCTTATTAATCTTTAAACAATGCTAAATGCTCAAAATATGTATAATTTCACTCAATTTATTACAGTTAGATGAATTAGCGTATGTATGCATCGTAAGGCATCGTATGCATCGTTAGCGTAAGCCTTGAAAGTAACCGTCGATTTCGACGGGTTTCGCCTAGTCATTATTATTGTGCAATAACATTATTATTTTTAATTTCAAATCATTTATCTTGGTTCAGTTGTACGAACGGCAACGTTTAAAATTATAGCTAACTAAACTCAACTAATAACTAGCCAAACACTGCATTGCTATAAATTGCGTTAATATTAATGGAACCTTTAGAAAGTGTTATAAGGTACTGCTCATGATGGACATATAGGCTACCGAGGTGCTGTATCACAGCATAGGAATTGATAGATAAGTAGGCCTAATAAAAAAGTGTAAAATTATATTTAGAGATAACTAAAACACTCTTAAAAAAGAATGTAACGAGAACAATCTTGTTATTCTTTTTCTTTGTTCTTCTGTTCTCTTCAATTCATACACAAATTCAACAAATTGCCATATTTAGGCCTACTCATTGGCCAATCACAGCCTTAATAAAGTTACCATACAATTACTAATCATTCAATCACAGTTTACTAAGCATTATATTGTCATCATTCCCCAGCTGTTGTACAGTATCTGAAATCTGTTGTAACATAGCGCACAGCAGACAGAAGTGTAAAACGGAGCAGACGATTGTTGGCGCAAGCGTTGTTTCCATTTCATTTTCATCAAAGGAGCTGTAATGTAATGTTTCTAAAGGGAGGGAGAGGGGATCGTTATATGAAGAGAAAGACACTGACAATTCGTTAAGCAGAGGTTACAAATGCTATATGGATATTCTGGCAATAAAAAATTCCTTAAATTGAGGTGACTTATAAACTCTAAATTTATTTAAATAGAAAGATAATTTTTCCAGTCCTGTACAACACTGATTCACGGTCTTTTCTCGGTAATCAAAATTCAAGTACAACTTGATACACACAGAATCTCCGGTCCCCGACCTGGATGATGGCTAGTTATTTAAATTTATTTACAGTTACATATTAGTACCCGTGATAAATCAAACCCGAGAAGTTTTTCTTAAATATTGTTTTCTACTCCTCTGTTAATTATTAAATCTTTATAATATTTGTAACTACTTAATGTAAAATGGTGTTTGCCGTTGGTGTTTAATAAATAAATAAATAAATAAAACCCGTTATGTAAGCCAAAGCCACACGGTTAGACTATTAATCTCACTTGGTTTCGGTTTTGCTTACAAACGTGATCGGAAATGGTTAGGGCCTACACAGTATTCGTAAACATAATTTTTGTAAACATATATATCAGTGACAGCTAGAAAAAGGAATCTTTATCAAAACAGCTGTTCACAGATTCATATTATGACGTCTTCTCGTTCTCAACAGATTATTAGTATTTCATAAATGACGTAATTAAGTAGTAAACATAGAGAAAATAAATTAGAGAAATCACACAAAATTGGGTTTTTGATCGTCTGTTATTTTATTTCCAAAATAACGAGGCCATATTTATATGGCTATAAGGACACTCTCGCCAATCCTGTGGATAACAATTAAACCATTAGAATCATAATCGGTACTCTAAGTTTCCTTTAGAGTAGGCTGCGTAAAATGCCTTCTGGGCTGTGAAAGACGGACATAAATTGAGATAAGACATGTTTCAACTTTCTTCAAGGTATAAAACGTAAAAATAACCCAAAATAGGCCTATGTATAATTCTGAGCAATGTACAGACAAAACTATAACTTTATTTATATAGATTAACTTGGTTTGAATTTTAAATATCCAAAAAAATTATAAAACTTCTTTTATAGTTTTACAAATAGTGCTGGGCGGGGGAATAATGTTTCTCATTTGTTGTGTACATCATTTAATAAATAAATAAATAAAAATGCCTTTATTTACGAGCGAGTTTCATGATACATGTTTTTCAAACTAACTCAAGTCACTAAATCTAAACTATCCTAATATATTTACATAAGTGGTGGGGGGGGCTGTTGCTCAATTGGGGGAGGGGGTGCGTCATGAGTCTAGGGGGGGATGGGCACCCCTGCAGTAGTAAACATAGTAAATAAACAGTACTGTACATAAGAATAGAAACAATTACGGTGCGTATATCAATAAATACAGTATACAATAAAAAACTACTGCACTGTGTATAACGTACAGCAATGAGGCGTTTGGATGGGTCGCCAGAATTTTATCCCCTGGAATTTTTCCCCCTAGAAAAAGCTGACGTCACTATGACGTAGTAATCTGAGCGCTCTAAAGTTTGTTCGCGGCCGGAATTTAACCCCCGCGGATTTGGAAGTCTAATGAAAATTGACAGAGCGTGATCAGTTAGATTAGCTATAAAAACTGGAATTTTACCCCTTGTCCAACAAGCGTTTAGGCAACTGTACATGTACGGCCCGAATTTTGACCCCTGGATTTTTACCCGTCGGATTTTAACCCCGGATTTTTACCCCCCGTAATTTTACCCCCAGATTTTAACCCCCCGGAATTTTTCCCCCTGGCCAGATTAATTATTATGAATTAATTCTTTAAGTTTTTATTAAGTAGCCTAGCTTAATTTATTTGTAATCTCAACTAAGTAAACAGGTTTCTTTATTTAATTTTTATATTCAGGATTTGGGTTTGGGGCCAAATGGTTAATATGTATAATAAATTTATGTTATATAGACTAAAATTTGCATAACAAAATTAAATACCTCGAATCAAACTACAGTACGTATTTTACTATTAACCATTTGATTCCATTCCCACTCCATTAAAATAAAATAGTATTTAGGATTTATCTGTTGTAAAATCGGTAAAACAATGTTACAAACTAGGCTATAATAATTTGCACTCATTTGATGGTTGGAGGGGGAGGGCCAAATTGTGGATAGCCTAGGGGCGACAAATCTTCAAATCCGCCAATAGTCTACCATGCTACCATAGGCCAAACGTGTTAATAGCCAGTATAAGCAAGCACACGGCAACACTAGCACTCGTACGCAGTGGGTTAGTACGACTATCTAGTGGTGAAATGCAGTGATGTGCTACACCCGTGACTCGTCGTCAAAATACTTGAAAATCAACCCATTCCATAGCAGGTTAATTTTTAAAACAAACATAAGTAATTGTTTGTTATCCTTCTACATTTAAAGTTTACTGTTTAAATATTTAATTTTCCTACAGTCACCCGACAAAGTTGGCTTCCTTGTACTGTTTATAGTACAGAAAGCTGCTAATTGCTGCATATTTATACTTTGCCGTACGGTTTATACTTTGCCGTACGGTTTATACTTTGCCGCACATCAGGATTCCAACGAAACAACACAAAACAGCGTGGTTCTATTATGCACGTAATCCGTGTACGCTTGGAAATAGGTTGGCAACACTTAAAGATAATAATACTATGAGCAGCTGATTGACTATTATAACTGCGATTTAACCTGTCATTTCGTGTTTATAGTTTCGGTATTTCTGAACTTTCTGGACTTTTCTTTTAAACGTTTTTAAAACATTCCTACGATCTTAATAAACAAGAAAATACCTTTAAAGCATTTTTTTAGGCGCGGAAACCATTTCAAATTACAAAAACATACGGAACTATATTCTCAAAACGCGGAGCACATTTCTTGCCGAGGAAAAATAGCGGAGTGATACGGACCGCGGGTACTACTTTCTCTAGGGCACCATTTGTGTTGCCAGCTGAACCTAAAAACGTGTTGTATAGTGTTTGAAAGACTAATTATTTATATGCTTTATAGTGACTGTAGGAAAAATATAATGTGTAACACGAGTGAAAAAGGCCTTTGCTGCACTCAAGATCATTCCGCACTCGCCTGCGGCTCGTGCGTAAACATTGCTCTCGTGTGCAGCAAAGTGCCACTATCACCACTAGTTACACAAATAACTATTTGCTTAAGGTGAGCTACACTTTTATTATTACCTAATATATATGTTAGGTCAGTTAAATCAACAGTATTTCAATCACCATCTATATTTTATTATATTGTGTTCAATTTATTTACTGATTCTTTATGTCAATTTCTAGTTTCGAAAGAAGCAACTCAAGTTTGCCAAATCCAAGATCCACGATTGGGGCCTGTTTGCAATGGAACCTATTGCTGCAGATGAGATGGTTATTGAGTACGTGGGTCAGATGGTTCGGCCACTTGTGGCGGATCTACGGGAGAAGCAGTATGAAGCTACTGGCATCGGCTCTTCTTATCTATTCCGAATAGATTTGGAGGCCATCATAGATGCTACGAAATGTGGAAATCTCGCAAGATTCATCAACCACAGTTGTAATGTAAGTAACTGACCAACCGAACTGGTCAACGACTTGTTACAGTCTGCTTTCCTGTAAAACATTAGTTTGAGCCAATTTCCCATATTAGGAATAAGCTATTAATGCAGGTCTCATGGTATGACATAGACCCGGGACTGATCCACTTTTTCATTTTGATGTCCCAAAGATGCCAAAAACGCTTGTTCAAATTCATCAGTACATTTATGCTATTTGTAATGTGTTTGTCAGCACGATAACTGGAGTAAAAATCATCTGATTTGATGAAACTGTACAAACGGATTAACCTACATTTATTCAAGCGAATTTGTGAACCAGCAAGATCAGACTATAGGAACGGAGTTTTATTGGGTGGAAATTGATTTTCCCACAATTTACCACCAAAAACTATTTTGTAGAGCTTAAAAACACAAATAGTTTAGTATATTGGCGTTGTTGTACGCCTAATAGTTTAATGGAGATAAATAAATAAATTGTGGTAGGCTAGTTGGTTGTTTAAGGATATAGTATATTTAAGGATATATAAACTTTGGCAAATTTGTTTATTTCATATTAAGCTATTAACAAATACACTTCATTATTTTTCTGCAGCAGCAAGCCTAAGTATACTCATTAAAATCAATATTATGTAAATGGATTTAGGAAATAAATTTTACAATGTTAAGGGGAATATTTTAGTGAAAATCCAAACAGGTAAACGTAATTTTGCTTAATCTGCATGTTCGCCGGTGGAAGGGGGGGGTTATTATTTTTCTTGAAGATTGTAAATAATTAACACATGCGACACAGACATAAAATTAAATATGGTTGGTAACTGGTATCATATGTTCATTATTATAATAGACTGAGTGTGATTTAGACGTGGTCGCTTACCATTTGTTACTAAATGTTCACTTGTTTTGTGGACTTTTTCTTGGAGATGTGTTCAAATGCAGTCAATAACAAGGTCTTTAAGTATAGACACATTGCAGCTCCATTTTCACTGTAGGTTATTTAATGATCAGTCAATATCACTATTGTTCTGGGCTAAACACTAGATTGTGTGGCTTTATTCAAACGTAATGCCACTGCAATTTATATTTTGACATCTTTCAATAATTATTGAACGAGTTAATAACATCCACATATTCTGATGAAATTAATTAATAGTAGTTATAATTGTATTTGTTGTAATTTTCAATATCGTATTATAATAATTATATTTGACATTACAAATCTAAACTTTTTTATATTCTAGGTTACTTAGAAATATTTATTTGATATTTGATCCATACACTGGCGTCAGATATGTCTTAATGAGCTCAATTAGCTTTTTGTATATTCATAATATTAAAAAAAATGTTTTATTTTAAGTTTCCATTCTTCCTTAATCAAAGTGTTCTTATTCCAGCCGAATTGTTATGCGAAGATCATTACCATTGATGGTCAAAAGAAGATTGTCATTTATTCCAAGCAACCTATCGGCGTTAACGAGGAGATCACTTATGACTACAAGTTTCCTATTGAAGATGAGAAGATCCCTTGTTTATGTGGCGCACCGCAGTGTCGTGGTACGCTCAACTAAGCGTTTAAGCGTATCTTTCCTCATTGTGATAATTCCATTTTATCCACCTTGGTGGTTCAAGTAGTAAGTGATGTACATACCTGTAAATTCAACACTATTTTAATACCTAGTGGTAGTGATAGGTGGATGCTGATGCTGATGCTGTTTACTAGTCCTGTGCTGTTATCTTAGGTCGAGTCCAAAGGGAGCACCTATGTGCGTGTAAAAATAAGGTTAATTCGCTCTTTTGTACGTGAAAATGTAAACAATATGTTCCCTGTAACTGTGTTAATATGTATATATGGAAATTGTATAGGTTTATTTATTTGTGTAGTTCTTCATAAGTTCAGTAGCTAGATATGTTTAATAAGTTAATTTTTATAGAAAATGTTTGTATATTTTTATTTTATCAAATACTAAAAGTACAATTTTAAAAAGAGGTATTGATATTCGTGTATATAGAGTTTATTTTTATCTTTTAATGTTTCATGTAAAAGGAAATAGTAGGAGAAAAGTTTGTTCATAGCTTTACTAAAAACGAATTTGTAATTTTACTGAACTGATGATTTTCAATTCAAAATTTCTTTATATTTATTTGCATGAATTTTTATTTGATGTTCAACGTTGTCTAGAAAAAGTTAAGTATTTTTAACAAAAATCTATTAATATAATATATAACAATCTATTACTTCTCCTTAAGTCGTCATTGCTCAAGTTTTCCTCCAATCTGACTTGGTCACTTCTTGATAACCTGTATAACATACAGAGTAATTTATGGTGTCACTTATTCAATTATTTTAGTCTGTATTATTTTAATATAAAACTGGCAAACAATTGAGTTCGGGTAAACTGAGTTAATGTAAATTAAGCTGTTTATTTATTAATGTAATGTGTTTACCTAACCTAACAAAAACAAATAATAGAATTTGGTAATATGTACATTAACACAGACCACTGTAAAAATGTTAATCTGAAAATACCAAATTATTTTTAAACTTTAATTTTTAAATAGTTAACAATTATTGAATCTGGTTGGTACGAAGTACATATACCAGGTCAAGTTGTTTGTTGTGTTTGAATGATTGATATGATTGAACTCAATGAACCTTAGTCATGTACAATGGAACGTATTTATTCATATTTATTATTTAAGTGACAATAAGAATTTATTTGTTCAATTTTAACTTCAATCAAATGCATCAGAAGGTTTACTACCAACAATACCTAGTAGAATCTCTCAAACCTGGCCTAATGAGGACCCAAATGTGTCTGAGTCAGTGAAAATGCCAATTTATTGAGAATAATAGAACTAAACATAACAAAAATTCTCTAATTGATTATAAATGGTTATTATTCATCAAATACTCTGTAGAATACAGTAAATTTTCACTTGAACTGATATAACAGAACAAAAAGTGAAAAGTAAACAATAGAACGAAGAATATAAAAGCACTATATCATGTGCATACAGTTTCAGTTTCTTAATAAAATTAATCCTCCAAGGCTAGCTAACACAAACAGGAATCAAATTTTATAAACATTACTAGCTGTGTACCCGTTCTACGGACAGGGATCTGTTAGTCAGTTGAAACCTTCCTATAGTCAGAACAGCAGTTTTTTTTTCATATTTAATGTGAATTTGTATTTGCCAAACAAATGATAAGTAGGCCTATTTCATAAATGACGTAGCCTATGTGGTAAACTTTGGGAGAAAACTTGACAGAAATCGCACAAAATTGTGTTTTTGAACGTCCGTTATTTTATTTGAAAAGTATTGAAGCCATATTTTAAGTCCCTCACAGTGAGTTATTTTTTGACTGTTCATCTCCCTTGTTAATCTCTTCTTTATCAGAATCCCAAATACTTTCTCCCTTCTCTCCTTTTTCTTTTACTGTTTCAACAATTGCCTCACTCAAAAGATTGTTTTCTCCAGTATCCTGCTCCATCCATTCTGTCAAGTCACCATCATTTGCATTTTCACAACCAGGAGCCTGTTAGCCCATAATTTTCTTCATCTTGTTTTCTTTGTCAAGAAGTTTTCTCCAGGAATGCACCCGTCCAATTTTTTTCCAATAAGTCTACTTTTTTAAGTTTTGCACCAAATCTTGACAATTTTCAACCACTACCAAAATATATGAAACCAGCTTGCTGTTGTATATCTTCTAGAACTCCAGGTTCCCTGGCTGGTATAATGAAGTCACGTTACGAGGCAGGATTACAGTTTTTATATCACCATTGTGTATTCATCTATGTCAAGATGTGAAGAGACATTGTCTAAGATAAGAAGTGCTTTTCTTGGAAGAGTTTTCAGTTTCACATGTTTTTCAACAGCAGGTACAAACTGTTTGTAAAACTACTCTTTAAAGACCAACCCATTGATCCATGCACTGTCTGGTGTTTACACCACACTGGAAGACTGGCTACATTAACATGTTTAAAAGCACATGGTTTTTTAGCTTTAACTATTAGATATAGTTTTAGCTTGTCCTCCCTTGTCACATTGCTGCAGGCCAAGATGGTAATAAGTTCGCTGCTTCTCGGGTACCCAAGAGCAGACTTTTTATTCTTTGAAGCAAGGGCTTAGCTAACCCCCGTTAAGGGTAAAATATTTAACCCCATTTCTTGTGAATTATAAATCTGCTCTGTCACACCTTCACTTTCAATTACCTTTTAAATTTTTCTTTAAACTTTAAAACACCTGTCATGTCCCCAGAAAGTTTTTCACCACATACAGTTAGTAGTCTGACTCCATACTGTTTTTCCAACTGTCAAGCCTACCAACAATTGCTGCAAAATCTGCTGCTCGTAGAACTTTAACGCTTTCCCTAGCAATATGGACTTGAAATTGGGGTTCCCTTTCCTAGAGCTTGATGGAGCCATAGGTAGTGCCTCGCCTACTTTTTTATATTTTTTTCTTTTAATGTTTCACTGCAATTCTCTTAACTTACCACACTTGTTATCCTGCTCAATTTCTTTTCCAGTCACCAATTACATTCTTACCAACTGAAAATCCTTCCATAGACACCTTGCTTACATTACCTCCTTTGCCCAGTCGTTTTAATGTACATAACTTCTGTTCCATGGGTTAGATGAAGTTGCCATATTAGTAGTTTTGTCGTAATGCACACTGACTAGAATGCAATAGCTCAATCTCACTACTTAAACACTGGGAATGAGGTGTAACTGTCCACGAAGATGGCAGCCAATGGCAGGAGGGCATTCACCTTGAGTGGCAATACATAAAGAGACTTGTCAGTGTCACGTTAGCTTATTATGATATGGGCATTTTATTTATTTAAAATTTATTTTTCAATTCTCTGTCACATGGGGATATTAGAACTGCTGACTTATCGAAAGCCTGGTTTGTGATACTCTACTGTATATAATAGTTTTTTTGTTAATTCTGTTATATTATAAAAATATTTTAAATTAAAATTGAATTCTGTTACAAAGTGTATTTAAAAGAAATAATGAATTCAACTATTCATATTGTGTTCATACTAGCTTTACAATTATTTATTTGAAAAAAAAAATTGGTAAAAAAGTCCATCAGATCTGATAGTAATAAAACTGTTAGACAACTCTATACAAAATGCTTTAAAATATATTGTGTTATGTGTGTTCAAATAATACTTATGAAGCAGCAACAGACTGGATTCTGGTACTGAATACATTAGAAAGAAATACTATAATGCAGTAGAACCTCTATTAACCGTCACCCTGGGTCTGTGAGTGTGATGGTTAAGCGAATAAAGGATAACAGAAATCCTATTTTAAATCTGTACAGTAAGTTGATTTTAAAGGTTTTGGAAGAAATTAAAGCCTGTACAAGCGAATAATATATATTTATTTTTAAATTACTTACATACAAGAGCAATTTAGAACTATTATTTGTATGTTGTACTTGTTCAATGTTCGATCCCAATTAAAAATAATTAAGTACAGGCTGACGTTTAATCGAGATTCTACTGTAAGTTGTTTATTTATCTTCTATTTTTACTAGCATATTCAATTCGTAACTGGAAAAAATGTAATAGAATGTAACACCAAGTACATCTTTATTGAATATTTTAATTGTAATACAACTGCATGGGCCTATAGTGTTTAAAAATATATTTAAGTTATTTATATTGCTTTTAATCATCATAAAAAATGTTAACTGGAAAAACATTAGAATGTGGTACCATGTAAATGTGGTATGAAGTGCATTTTTATAAGAAATACTAAATTAAGCTGTTTACTTAATATTGTGTTTTGATTTGCCTTTACAAACTTCCACTAGCAAACATTTTACATAATTTTGTACCATCAACTACTTTCACCTATGTTCAATCTTCAAAGCAAGCTTAGACACCTGATAAGTATGATAGTTTAATATAATAGGGACTGCAATATCATAATTTGATTAATTATGTCACAGCCTATTTATTTAAATGAGGAAAATTTACTATCAACATAAAAGGTTCCATTTTAAATTTGAAGAATGAATTTTGACTAGTAAAGTATCCTGGTACTAATTGCATATTAAGTAACTTGACAACCCAGAGCAGTATTAATGTTTACATAGTTTTCAAATGCGTAAAAATTCAGTGTCCCAAAGAGGTTTAGAAAGACCAACCCATCCTTATCTAGGTCCACTGAACGTTTTAACAAAAGAATGAAACTTTGATGTACAAAGTATGACTAACCACAGTAAGTTTTGAAAATTTACAATTTTAAAAGAGATACCCTTGTTAGCTTTTTGGAGATTGGAAACAGTTGCTTTTTTGAATGTTTGTTAAAGCCCTTAATATCTTGATTTCTTTGGTAACACAATAAACTTAATTATTATAGCTGGGCATGTACTTGTTCTAAGTTATACCATCAACATAATATTTAGTCTGTCATTTTAAAACCCCAATATTAATACAATTGTTAATTGGTTCAACATGTGTTGATAATTAAGAATAGTTTTTTTTCATGCAATAGTTTCATAACTTGCTGTTCCACAATCTTACCAACTTGTTTACAGTTAGCCTTTACCTTCGTTATTATTTTTTGTTAGTGTCTACACCAGTGGAACTTTTACTGAAATAATATAAACTCTTATAAGGGTGATAGCTCGAAATCCCTCTGGGAAGTACAATTCTTGTAAAATCCTAAAATGCCAGTCACATTACAACTTGCTATATGGTTTGAATGACTGCAAACGGAAACACAATAAAAATTTGTTTACATGAAACCTAATGTCTGTTTTATTAATTATAAATTGTATATACAAATGAAGACGTTGATTCGTTCAAATGAAGTGTTTTTTAACACAGATTAATAGTGACTAAAAGCCTTAAAGTTATAAATTTTAGTATTTTTCTGGCTGCTCTTAGTATATTCTACTTTGTCCTACACTCATATTTGGGTTAAAATACGCCCAGTTGTTAATTAAATTGGTATTTTCCCAATTCCCAATTCA